CATCATCAGCCTCAATGGAATCACAGAAATGCAATCAGCCCTTTCAACTTAAACTGCTAAAAAAAATAATGGGTAAAATATATGAAATAATGCTTTTCAGGCCACAGACGGCAAGCAGCACAGGACACTCCCTGAGAGAAGGCAAACAGGGGATGGGAGCCCCACAGTTACTCAGCTTACTGCCTAGAGAGAGTTTCCAGGTTGCAGTGCAGGGAGAAGGTCCCCAAACAGCTCAGTGGTGTTTCTGAATTGAGGGGACAGTTAAGCCAGAGTAGCTAGGAGTTTGTGGGACAGATTATGAAAGAGGGGAGACTTGCCCAGACAGGAGAGGGCTGCATACAGAGAGAGTTTCAGAAATTTGTGGGGGATTCCCTCAAGCCTTTAACAGAGCACTGCTCAACCAGTGCGTGGGAATAAACTCCATGAAGCAGGAGAAAAGAGAAAACCCTGGAAAGTTCCAGTGACCACAGAGGACCAGGAACACTTTGTTCTTCCACCAGTCCAGCTGGGAGAAACCTCGGGATACACAGAGCGTCAGGAGGATATTGCCTCAGTAGTGGGGCAAAATTAGACCTGCAATAAAGGTTGTCCTGCTCTCACCTTCAAAAGGACCAAACTGCTTACCAGTAACTTAAATATGAGCCCAAACCAAGTGCAAGGATATTTAAAGAATACAAAAATATCGAACACACAAGGTAAAATTTACCATGGGTGTCACGGAATTAAATCAAACAGGATCAGGCATGCAAAGGAGCAGGAAAATGCAGTTCAAAATGAGAAAAGTCAGTCAATAGAAACAGAATTAGGAGACAAGGATTTTTTAAAGTCATAATAATTACATTTTTTAGGCTGAAAAGGGTAGAAGAAAACATGAGTATGTTGAGGTGAGATATAAAAAAGACCCAAGTCAATCTTCTATGGTTTAAAGAAAAAACAATGTCTGAGAAGGAAACTATAGTACACAGTGTTAATAGTTGATTGGACACTGCAGAAGAAACTAATAGTGAACCTGAAGACATAGGAACTATACAAAATGAAACACACAGAGACTTAAAAAGAAAAACAATCACTGTATAGGGGAGCTGTGGAAAAAGTAGCCTAATATATATGAAAGTGAAGGTCACGAAAGGGTTGAGGGGAACCCAAAACACTAAGCCTACAGAATGGGTCGCGTGATTCTTTTGTTTCTGCTTACAAATAAACGTGTGTGGCAGAATTTTCTATGAGACATGCTTCTTTGAAATCTCGGTAAAAAAAAAAAGGGGTGGGAAGGGGACCAAGGTCATCCCATACCATCTCCAACAAAGGTGGGAGTGGAAAGAGTGTAGGGGCTGAGAGTCAAAAGCAGTCCTCGCCGGGTTCCTGCGTTTGACCTGTGTGTGAAGGCCACCGAGTGCGGGGGGGCAGGAAAGGCGTGGAAATGTCAACCCTGAGCTGAATCCGAAGCAGCTAGGAGAAATCAGCAGCCGGTGCTCTCATTTCATCCCTGATTGTCACAAGCAAGCCTAGAAGTGAATCGGTAATTAAGGCGACCGGCACCATCCCCAAAGCAAACGAACAGGGAATCCAGCTTGGCCACACGTAAGAATAACCTGGGGAACTTTGCAAAAATAACATCGGGATCTCACTCCAGACCTGTTCCCTCAGAACTCCGAGGGGAAGAACCCACAGAATGTTCCTAAGCTCCTCAAGAGATGCTAAGACAGCTAAAGAAGCAAAGCATCCGGGTGTTCTGCCACGGAAATGTTGCTCTCTTCTGGTTTTTTCTCTGGCGGGCATTCAGAATCTTAGAAGAGAAAGCCGTCAGGCCCGACCAGCGCTCGCTCCCCCTCTCACATTCTTCTTGTCCTGTTATCTGAGCCTTCTTTAAGGGGAAGAGTGGCTTACAGCTGGGGTTTTGTTTCTTGTTTGTTTGTTTTCATGGGTTTCAGTCAAAGGCGCCTGGCGGGGCCCCTCGATCGCTGGGCCCCACCCGCAGAGTTTGGGACTCAGTGGGCTTGGGGTGTGGCCGAGCACCTGCACCTCTCACAGCTCCCAGGCGCTGCTGCGGCTGGCACCGCACTTCGAGAGCCTCTGTTTTAGAGGGCACAGGCGATCAGGCTGAGGGGTTTTTCTCAACAGTGAAAGAAACAGAGTTTCAATAATAAAGAAGGAAGTGCCCAACCCCAGAAGATGGGGAACCTGAGGAATGGGGACGGGAGGAAGGCTGGAGATGTCAGAAGGGGTTCAGAGAGTCCCCGAGCAAAGATGACTATATGGATGTCTGGTGGCATCAGGGCCGTAACGTTGAGACACTCAACAGAGGCCTCCAGCGCTGAGCTTGGCCTGAAAGCCAAAGCTGGCAGCGGACTGCCCACTCCCTTAGGCCGCTGCGGCCAGCACTGAGCTCAGCACGCCCTCCCTCCCTTCTGCACGGGCCTGGGGTGCAGCCCCCAGGAGGAGCAGGCGGTCTCCAAGGTCCACGGTCTTGACTTCTCTCCAACTTAATCAGGGGGCCCTTAAGCCAGCTTGAATTTGACTTAGAAAAATAATGCAATAGGACATTTCTTCCTCTCAGAATGTTCTAAAGTAACCCAGGCTTGTTTGAATGCCTTCTGATGAAGCAAGTTCCCATTAACTATTTAATTACCAGGCTGGAGGGTGTGGAACATGGGAAGGAGGGCTGGAGGAGCATTTGAAATAGAGTTTACAGATCACGGCATTGCTTTCTTACGGGTGAATGAATGTGAGTGGTTAGTGAAGAAGTGGAATTAATAACTCACTCATGGACTCGAGCTGCGTATAATTGTCCAGGCAAACAGGAACTGAGGATACAGAGATGGATTAAACATGGAATCTAGCTCTCGGGAGGTTTAGAGGAGGGGCAGATGTTTATTATTGTCTGTCTGAGACAGTCATAAGCACTATAATAAATGTTCCTACAACGTCCTTTGGGAACACAAAAAGAGTGACTAATTCTCTCTAGGAAATATTTGGAATAACAAAATCTCCCAACAAGGAAATAATGTGTGGGTTGAACTCTGCAGAACAATCAGATCGCCAGTCAGACAACAGGGATAGAAGAGAAATGCCCATTTAGGCAGAGGGAACACAGTGGACAGGGAGGAGGTAAGGGAGGCTGCTTATCACAATATGGGGGCTGCCTAGTGGGGGTGGCGGTGCCATTCAGCATCGGGAATGTTGCAGCTGGTGAAGAGAAGTTGACAACTGTGATACAATAGGAGGTGGGACCAAATCAAGAAGACCCCATATTCATATTCAGCTGGTGGGAGCAAGTCTAAGAGTAGAAGTTTTAAAAAATGGTTATATATATATCTCCATAACTATTGACTAACCTCTGTCCCAAGCCCCCTGAGTAACCCCACCCTGGGCTGCTCTGTTCTCTCTTGAGACCACCTCCCCTCATCCCTCTATGATTTAGCAACGAGAAAGTTAATCCCTGACATAGCAGGGACCCTCTACATATTTCTGCTCTTTTATGTTTAACATGTTAATACTTCTTTCTTTGAAATTAATTTGTCTTTCTCTAGTATCTTGAGTTGGAAGCTCAGATCATTGATGTTTAATCTTTTTTCTTTTAAAAAGTATGCACTTATAGCCACAACTTTCCCTCTGAGCACTGCTTTAATTGTATCTCACAAAATTTAATATGTCATATTTTTATTGTGATCGACTTTAAAATATAATTTCATACTTTATAACATTCTATAAATGTTAGTTTTTTATTAATCATGGGTTGCTCAAAACTGTGTTCTTGATTTTGGAGCATTCGAGGACTTCTAGTAACCATTCTTTCGTGGATTTCTAGTATAATTCTACTGTGCTCAACAGACAAGTTCTGTACGACTTCAACCCTTTGACATTTGTTGAAACTTGGCTTTGGCCCAGCATGTGGCCTGTTTTGGTAAATGTTCTATGTATACTTGAAGAAAGTGTGTATTTTCTGGTTGTTGAGGATAGAGCGAAGGCCCTACCCTTAGGATGTGCCCCTTCGGAGGTTTTGCCTGAAGGCTGGGGCTATTTTCCCATCCTTCCCACTTTACCACAGTCTCTGCTGGCCCATCACTGTGCAGTTGTTGAAATATCTGCTCAGCTGAATATCGTGTAAGCCCGGTTTCCTATTGAGCATTCTGACAATCTGCCGCCCTACTGTGAGCCCCTAAGATGATCCAATCATCCCTGCCCCTGAGTCATCATGTTATCGCATAACACCAGTCTCTTGGAGTGTGGCCTGGACTTACTGACTCATCTCTGAAGGACAGAATACAGCCGAAGTAACACTTCTAATATTAGGTTGTAGAAAGACTGTGGCTTTCGAGCTGCTCCCTCTCTCATCACTCGCCCTGATGGGAACTGGCTGCTGTACTGTGAGTTACCCTGCGGAGGCTTCCACGTGGTGAAGGGTCAAGGTCTCCCAATGGCCATTTGAGTGACCTTCGAGGAAGCTTCCTCACCCTGCCGGTAACGCCTTCATTCGGATAAGACCACAGCCCAACTGAGAGCTCGACTGTGACCTCGTGAGATAACTTGAGCCAACGACACTGTGCTGCACCTGGATTCCCGACCTAAGGAAACTATGAGATAACAAATATTTGTTGTTTTACACCATAAAGTCTGAACATAAATTGTTATTCATAAGAGATAACTAATACAAAGAGAAATAAAGAAATAATGAGAAGTTGTACATGAATTTAGGAGTTTTCTGGTCTGGCTGGGGGAGATTTGTTTTTTGTTCTTGAGGACACACTAACAGGACTAGAAGACTGGGTTAGATTAAACATGAGAAACAAAGAATTGCTCTTGGGTTTAGCTTGAATGTCTAAGTGAACAGTGATACCATTTACTAAGATTGAGAAATCTGATGAAAATTCAGCAGCCAGGTAGAACTGTCAAGCAGCAGTTAGATATAAAATTCTAGAGTTCTGAGGATTAAGGGCTAGAAATCAGATTTGGAATAAGAACAGTATCAGCCTCACTGGTTGTAAGCATTAGGTAAGATAATGCAGATAAAACTTTCTGCACAGTGCACACAGTTGTTACCTGTAGCAGGTAAAACTGTGTCCCCCAAAAGGTATGTTCAAGTCCTAGCCCCTGGTACCTGTGAATGTGACCTGGTTTGGAAAGAGGGTCTTTCAGCTATAATTAATTAGGATGAAGTCATATTGAATTAGAGCAGACCCTAATTCAATTACTGGTGTCCTTACAAGGAGAGAAAACAGAGACACAGATACACACAGAGAGGAAACTGTCATCTGAAGACAGAGATAGAGATAGGAGTGACACAGCCACACACCAAGGATTTTCCTTAGAACAATCTGAAGTTAGGAGGGAGGCATGGGCGGCTTTCTTCCCCAGAGCCTCCAGAAGAAACAACTCTAGCAAAACCCTGATTTCTGACTTTTAGCCTCCAGAATATTGAAAGAATAAGTTTCTGTTGTTTTAAATCATCCCGTTTGTGGTCATTTGTTACAGCAGCCCTGGGAAAATAATACAGCGTCCAAATAGACATGTCATGTGAATGATTATCAGTGCTTCCACTATTATTCATATTGTATCTTTATTGTTGTTCTATCTCCAAACACCTCACACTTCGCTTTGCACATAGCAGGAACTCAGGTCATAATTATGGTAGAATAAAAGATCTGTGCTATCCGAATTCTGGCAACACTCTCTGAGGTCACACTTGGGAAGAGCCTACCCTGAGGGCTCAGTCTGAATGGTGCTGGCTAATACTCAAGGCCTGGCAGGCCTCAGGATCACCGAGCCCTCCTGGGCCAACGATGAAGAAAATGTCACCTGCCGGGCTTGAATGTGATTGTAGTGAAATTCAGCAAGAGCCCCTTCTCTTCCGTTGCTTCCAATCCCAGTGTGTGATAAACTGTCATTGGACATTATTGTTCTTCGGCACTTAAATTTTTTTACATGGAGGGTTAGAAAAAGAATAAAAGTCCAGATGTTCCTGAACTTGGAGGAACATTAGTATCACCTGGAAGAATGTATTTAAAATGTAGATTCTTGGGCCCCTTTCCACCCTTACTGAGAATCAGAATCTCCGGGTCTTGTTTGGGGCTTGAAGGAGGCTGCAAGCTCCCCAGCTGACTCTGATTCACCTGCGGAGCACCTGTCCCCAGAATGTTTGAAAACGACAATTGCTTCCATCTGCAGATGAGAAAACAGAGGCAAAGGGCCTTAGGGCATGCCCTGGGCTTCCTTGTTTTTCAACAGCATCTTGAAAGAGAGAGGGAGAGATTTAATAGAGACATAAATTAATAGTAAATAGAAATAATAGTAAAAAATGAAGTGAAAAGTGAGCTTGAAGGTGGGGGTATTAGAGATAAGAGGTGTCTGCAGAAGCAGCTCATTGATTTAGAGAAATAATCAGGGCAAAGCTGAGCTTCTCCGTATTAGAACTGCTCCAATGGGGTGGTTTGGCTTGGTTTTTGCTTTTACTAAAGCGCTGGCGCCCCCTAGCGGGAAGGAAGGATAAGCAGTCCAGAGTCCACAGCGAAGCGTGTTTTCTGCGAAACCCTGTTCTCTTGCTTTGGAGTCAAGATTGTTTCCATGTCCCTCCGTACGTTTTGGGCACCATATTTCTTAGTCACTAAGTCCCCCCCCCCCC